CCCTCCCGGCTCCCTGTCGCAGCAAGCTGCTCGCTAGTGGCTGCACGGAGCCATACAAATATGCTGTAGCCTGGAGTTGGAAGCTTTGTGAAATAGCCAGTAAATCAGCCCGCCTCCGCTAGGTGAATGGGGCGGTGGCAGCGGGCCACCCTGCGGGCGCAGTAGCTGGGGGGACCCAACAGCAGACTCAGAGAGCAGGGGCGGAGTGCACGCCCGCGCCCCTACGCCCAGGTCCTGGGGACCCTGTGCAGGTCCCCGGGGTGAGGGCTGAGTTCAGAGATACCCAAACTGTAGTCACGGAGCAGTAATTTTTTTCTTATTTCTTTCTTTTCTTTTTCTTTCTTTCTTTCTTTTTCCGTTTTTTTTTTTTTTTCTTCTCCTTACTCCCCTCCTGAATTCTTGAGCTGCCAAAAGGGGGGAAAAATCAAGAGCTGCTCTTAAAAGAAGTTGCCCTTGCTGGTGCTCAGGGTAAAAATAGAGACGGCCGCTTGGAACGGCTTGGCGCTGCCTCCCTGCAGGCGCCCCGGAGCTGGGCTCAGGCAGCGCGTTCCGGCGTGATCTCTGGGAGTCGCCAGCAGGTGCTGCTCAAGGTACAGTAGCAGGCCGAGGAGCCGGGGCCCAGGGCCTGGGTGCTGGGGACGCCTGGGGGAGGGGGCAGGAAGTGAAAGAGAAACCAAACGGAGCAAGGAGAAAGGAGATGCTTGTCGGGAGCTGGGCTGACCAGCTCGTGCCCTGAGCGCTTCCTTGAATTCCACAAGGAAAATCCCATTCTCCTGCAGGACGTTGCAGGGAAGCGAATTTAACCTGCCTGCTTCCTCCATCTCCCGCATCTTGAACCCCACAGAGTGGGGAGGCTTTCCCACTGTGGGGGCCCTGGGCTGGGGGTCCAGTTGGAGCATGACATCACGGCAAGTATGCACTTCCTGGCATCGTTTGGTTGCCCAGCGGTGGTCTGAGAGTGGCGAGTGTGGAGTGGACCCTGGAGTAAGGGACTGCACATTCCTGGGACACAGATGTTTATAAAGAACCGCCAACCACTTTCCTCCGAAATAACATCAAGGTTCATCCTCTGAGTCCTACTCTTGACCCTGCAGTTTTTCATTATGGATCCCATTTTAGAGATGGGAACACTGAGGCCCGAGTTTCCCTGGCAAAGAAGCAGGAACACTGAGGTCTGATCAGGTTTGTTTTGTGCCCCCCCGCCCCATGATGTGGGACAGGATAAGACTTTCATGGCGCTAGGGTTCGTACATGAGGCAAGGGGAGAGTAGAGTTCTTAAAGTTCATCGCCCTGCACTAGCTCTCATAAAAAAAGAAAAAAGTAGGAAATTTCTTTCTTATAGGGGTATCAGTTCAAGCAACTCTACCCTGCGAGGCAGGCTGGGAGTTCACGGTCACTGATCCTATTTCTGTCTTTGCCACTCACATTCCCTGTCTTCCTCTACAACCTACAACCAAATGACTTTATTTCCTACTTCAGTTCTGCATATGCAGTTCTTAGAATACTCCTCTCCTCCTCCCCCACACACAGCCAGCACCCACGCCTTCTCTGGAACAAGCCAAGAGAGACCTTCTCTGCAGCAAGCCTGGCTCTCTCCTACCTGCCGCAGCTTCACATCAGGAGGCCAGCGCCTCGAGATTTTGCTTGTGGGCACAATGAAAAGTTTATTTTATGCATGTTAAATCCTGCATAGAAAACAACATATCTGGTCATATGGCTTTCATTAGCTCCCAATTTTGCACATTTTATCCGACTTGTCATGAGAACACAGCTCGGAATTCAATTCTTCTCCTTCGAGCAACCCTTCTCCACCATTCTGCTCTGAGGGATCCTGCCTGTTATTTCCCAAACTTACTGGTCCCCCCACCAAAAAAAAAAACCCTACAATTCTAAGTTTACCCCTATTTCAAGAGGTGTTTGCTTCTTATCACACATCTCATATTTATAAGGTTTAGAAATCATTAAAGTTCTGGGTCAGAAATGATAATGCATGATTTTTAAAATATTTTATTGTTTTGCAATTTAGAATGGGACTGTAAAGACCTGGGAAGGATACTGATGAGTTCACTGGCAAAGAATGAGTATTTCCCAAGTTCTTGGTGATACATGATTTATGAAGAAAGCATTCTATTTCAAGATGTAAAATAACAGCGTCAGTCAGGAGAAGGGAGACCATCCTCCTATGGGTATACATATTTTCCCATTTTTTCCCCTCAGTGAAATGGCTCGTTTAAAAATAAAATAAAATTAGAATCCTGTGAAGAACACTACAAAGGTTTTCCCTGTGAAAAACAATAAAATACTCTGTAAATAGAGGCAATTTCATGAAGTAACAGATGTTTTCTATAAAGACATAAAACTGAACCTGAATATAACAAGAGGTGTATGGGAGGGTTAGTACTAAGAGTTGAAAGTTGGTCCCTCATTGAGCTAAATCTATTTGATTCCAATATCTTTGTAAAATGCAGACTAGTCACAGCAAAAGTGTCAGTGGCTCAGTGCATGACCCAGTAGTGTCTCAGAAGGCAAGAGGGATTTCCATTAGATAATGAATTATGAAATGTCTCACTCTGGAAAAACCAGTCATCGGCTGATGTCATGCTGATTCTAACCAATCCCAAACAAAGCCCCAGCCCTCCTCTTTTGAGAGGTACCAATGTGTTAGTGTACAAATAAGTAGTACAGTATAAAACTTCACAGTGCCAATACCATGAAGAGGAGCTCAGACAGCTCTTACCACATGATACAAGAGCCGGCTGGTGAAAGAGAAGCAAGCAGAAAGGTAATGCTCTTTAATTCTTACTTATGAGCTCTTTGCACATTCCAAGTCAGAATGGCTAGGAAGAATTTTACAACTTATTGGCACTTCCCTGGGCATTGTGATTGGTACCTTTTTCCTATTATTCAGGCAGGTTAATACAGCTTTTAATAGTTCTAGAGCATGCAAATAGATTATGTGTTTATACAACCCACTTTGCACAAATATACAAGTACATATGCCAGAGAGAAAGCTATTTTTAAGAGTTACATTTGCAAACAGTAAATTTTACGAAACACACACATACTCACATGCAGGGAGAATCCAAATATTGATAGGTTGCACTTATATCAATGATACTATTAGGGCTCTTGAGTTCTTTGGAGTCATTAAACTTTTAGTTCTACTCAGACTCTCTCATAAAACTTAATTGGACTACAAAATTCTTTAGGTACTCTATCTATGACTCCAATTAGGTGGGTGATGTTAAATATTACAGTACAAAGGTGTTTTATTAAAAATTATAATGCTTCCCTCATCCTTCACCATCCTTTTTTTAAAAAGAGACTTTCAGGTAGTGTGGACAAAGTTTTATCAATAATAGCAGAAAAACTGATGTCCTTGGAGTTGAAATCTCAAAAGGTGACAGGCTTCTAACAGAGAAAGTCTTACAAATGGTTGTTTTTGAAAAGGAGACAGTGTATGCAATGCAGAAAAAGCATTTTTACCTGGGCAAACTGTGATTTTAATTAGTGTCACAATTTTATCTCTCTTTTCCTCTGGTACTCAGACCTTGTGCTTGCAGTACTGATACATTTTAACTCTTTTCACCCAAACTGCACTGCTTGACTGGAATGCTCTGACCATACTAGGTGTCAGATATAAGCTGACTATATCTACAGAAACCAAGAGGGCTTATGTGTGGGAAAGAAACTGAGAGGGAAGGAAAGCTTTAACAGATGGACCCTTAAAGATACTTCTGCAAGATAAAAGCAATAAGACAGAAAATGAAAAAAAAAGAAAAAAGAAAAAAGGAATGGGGGGAGGAATTAAAAAAAAGCTCCAGGCATTGTTTAAAAATGCACATTTTTCTTTTTCTGTGCACAGTAAAAATCATGATGGTCTCATCCGTGCTGTTCTTTGGGTGAAGGGGGAGAAGCAGTCTAGGAGGCTCTCTGAGCATCTACTGGTCAGGACTGGGCAAGGGTCAGACTGAAAAAACTATCATATGACAGATAAAAATAATTTGCCAATATATTTTGGAGATTCCTTTCCCAAGTCACAAGAGCACACTCTTTTTTGTGAAAGAATGTGGGAAAGGCCAAATGAATTTTGCATTTTATCTGCGAAGTCTGGGCAAGGGGTGGTGGGACATAATTCCTGAATGCCATTTCAGCATGCAGAGGGGCAGCGAAGGGAGAGGGGATGGCACCTCCTGTCACTTGGGTATGGAAAATGCCACTTCCCCTTTAGATCTCTTAGTGCCCTCCTGTCCTGCCTAGCTGGGTAAAGCAGAGCTTAGTGGGTGACCCCCGAACAAAAAGTTCAGTTGCGCGCCCCTTAGAAACCTGCCCGAATATTTAAATATGAATGAATGGGAAAAGGAGTGTCTCCTCCCGACTCCCCAGGATGAATGAATGGCTGCCCCTGGGCCCTAGTCCCCTGCCCTCAAGAACCTGCCGCCCGGCCCTCCTGGCCAGGTGGACGCGGTGTAGCCCGGGGTGGGGGTAGGGACCGCGGGGACAGGTTTTCGCAATCCACTCAGCGCTTTGGATTGAGATTGTGCTTTTGGCTGGGATTTGTATTCCCCCTCCAAAAAAGGAAGAAGGTAAAGCAAAGGGACTGGGCAGAGGGAGGGGAAAAAAAAAAAAAAAAAAAAAAACAAACCAGAAGTGAACAAAATGAGGAGAATGTTGGGTGGAAAGGAATGCAGAACCCCGGAGCCTGGTGATATTGGAAGCGAGGTGTGTGTGCGGGAGCAGGAGCAGAAGGGAAGCAGCCTGTCAGAAAACGGGCTGTCCCTCCCCTCCCTAATCACAGCCTTACTCACAGACAAACTCCCTCCCTCTCCCATTCACTCACTCATTTAGGGCCAATTCCCTCTCTCTCTCTCTCTCTCTCTCTCTCTCCTCTCTCCTCTCTCCTCTCTCCTTTTCTCCTTTCCCTCCCCCTTTTCCCTCTCTCCTCTCCCCCTCTCTCCTCTCTCCCTGTCTCTCCCTCCCATCCTCTCTCTGTCTCTGTCTCCCCCCACCCTGTCTCTCCCTCCCTCCTTCCCTCCCTCCCTCTCTCCCTCCCTCCCTCCTTCCTTCTCTTACTCGGAGACAGTCAGAACTCTCCTCCCTGACAGCCACAAACCTACAACACTGACTGCCTTCAGAGCGAGAACCTGCAAACAAAACTTCACAGAAAACTTTTTGCTCTTGTTCCAGAGAATTTGCTGAAGAGGAGAAGAAAAAAAAAAAAAAAAAAAAAAACAAAAAAAAAAAAAAAAGTCTTAAAAAAAAAAAAAAAAAAAAAAAACCCTGTGCGTGAGGGGGGAGGAAAAGCGAGGCCTTTTAAAGAGGCAATCACAACAACTTTTGCTGCCAGGATGCCCTTGCTCTGGCTGCGAGGATTTCTGTGGGCAAGTTGCTGGATTATAGTGAGGAGCTCCCCCACCCCGGGATCTGAGGGGCACAGCGCAGCCCCCAACTGTCCTTCCTGCGCGCTGGCCACCCTCCCAAAGGATGTACCCCACTCTCAGCCAGAGATGGTGGAAGCCGTTAAGAAGCACATCTTAAACATGCTGCACTTGAAGAAGAGACCCGATGTCACCCAGCCGGTGCCCAAGGCGGCGCTTCTGAACGCGATCAGAAAGCTTCATGTGGGCAAAGTGGGGGAGAACGGGTACGTGGAAATAGAAGACGACATCGGCAGGAGGGCAGAAATGAATGAACTGCTGGAGCAGACCTCGGAGATCATCACGTTCGCAGAATCAGGTCGGTGCTGGCATTGGCGGGGCGGGGGTGGGGCGGGGGCAGTAAAATAGATTTCTTTGACAGTCCTAGGAGGAACTTCTCTTCCCTCCAGCTGGAAGCTGCCTGCGAAGGTGATTAGTTAAGAGGGGATGGAGGCCGTCAGAGAGGGGGCAAGGGAGAGGGAGAGGACGGCACAGAGAGAGAAATCTTGGGTGACTCTGCCTGGAGAATACCAGCTTACACTTGCTAAACTCAGCCGTCCCTCGCGGGAAGCTCCCGGGCCAGTCTGTGAGGGGCTCCGTTCCCCTGCCTGTGAAACTAGATCAGAGCAGCCTGGGCAAAAGCCAGGGCGCATTCCGGTGTTTGGGGAGCAGAGGGAGCCTCTGGACCCCATCCAAAGTTTTCATTGGGAGTAGGGGGCAAAAGTGCCCAGGTATCCGGGCTGGCATGGCACAGATGAAGTCATTGTCTTAAAACCAGCCTTTCCCTTTAAAAAAATCCAGTCTGGGGCCACATCACAGAGGAAGGGCACATTTACTAGTGACAGTCAATTTTGTACCTTTAGAATCTGCCTCTGTGTGCAAAGCACATCCTAAGCAGTTGAGAGCTACTCTGGGGCACAGCTGATATTGAACCAGAGGTCATTTTGGGGAGCTTGACTTGTGCTCTCTGAACAAAAAAGGAAAAGCAAAATAGACCCCGTACACACACCAAAACTCAGTTTTGCTCTTTGTAAAGTTACTAAGAACTCTGTGCCAAGGAATGTAACCTTGACAGAGTATGCTCAGATACTGTGCTGAACTCTCACTCGGTCCTTAAGGGGAAGAACTTTAATAAATAGATTCTCCTCATTGGCCCAGGACCACAACAACCTGTTGCTGAATGCAAAATACCTGTCAAAAGTATGAGCCCAGACTTGGGGCCAGCCTTTTTTTTTTTTTTTAATATATATGGTTATGGGACACAGATCTTTCTCATGCCTACAAGCTCATGCAGGCTGGGTACACAGATGTGTTAATGCCATGTTGCTTTCATGGTAACGCCAGGCTGAAGAATTGGATCCTTTGCCAAATCCATTTGAAAGGAATGCCATTGTTTTGTGTGATAGAGCATATGGCCAGTAAAGTATGTGCAGGGACTCCCAGCATTTTGTTTAAAAGTTTGTTGCAGCAGTGTAAACAATTAAGGCAACACTCAGAATTTCCAATCCTGAAAACCTGTTGACTCAGATGTTCTGTTTTCAAGAAAGCAGGCATAAGACCTGGGCATCCTTTTGCGGGATGCTTGCTGGCTTCTGGACTCCCCTATGAGAGAAATCTTGGTGTTCCACCAGCTTCCCTGGCTTGGTAGATCTCTCCCCAGCAGCCTCTATAATTTAGGGAAGGTCCCACTTTCTCTCCTGGTACAGCTCTTTCCTGATGCAGTGGCTGCAAAGCATGCTTCCTGGGACTTTATCATCTGATGCTTGTTGAGGAAAAAACCATATGGCAATTTTCAAGTTGCTACCTAATTTTGCCTCAATCTTTCCTAGTAGAAAGTTAGGAAAGAAAATGCTCATGACATCGGGCCTTGTTCGTAGAGTGGATTTCAGTGGTATAGAGGGCTACTCCCTATCTTGACTAGAAGGGACCCATATATATTTTTATATCCACATCTATGATGACCTCAATGCAGTTCCTATTCAGTTGGCTTTAATAGCATCGTATGGAGCAGGATACCTGTGCCTTTGACACTTTAAATTCCACAGCAGGTGCTGGCAGTGTCTCCCTCCTTCTGACTTACTGGACTTGAATAAAAGCACACTCTCTTGGCCTTTAGAATTCGGCAGTGAAAGAACTGGGCCATTTACATTCTTTCTTACGTATGGCCTTCATCTCAGTGCCAATCTTTCTCTCAGTTATATGGGATCTTGTCATTTTCCTTTTCTTTCCTTCTCTGGTGTTCCTTTTCTTCTCTCTCTGGTGAGAGAGAAAATGAGGCAATTCATTGGATTTACATGTTGACGAAAGTGTAAGATTTGTAATGGGAAAACTCTTCCTGGTTGAGTTTACATCTTGACTTTGGATTCTTAGAAGTGGTTTATTGCAGTTGCTTATTTTTCTCTTCTGAGAAGTTGTACACATCAACTCTAAGTTGATTTCAAGTAATTCCACCAATTTTATGATTGCTCTGCGGATGATCTATTCTCCAAGCAAAGTACTACACATGTAAGCATTTTCCTGCTAATTTTGCCAACCCAGGCAACATGTTTATGATCTGAATGATTGTAGTGAATAAATGAAAATTAATAGTAAAGTCTTATGTCTTTTGGAATAGTTCAACTTTAGTAACTTTCCAGCAATGTGGAAGGGCAAGGCTCTTGGAGGATACTAAATGTCATGCATTTTTCTTTTCTTTATAACTATTTGCATAGCACAGAATCCAATCACTAAGTGTCACCTAGGAGTGACCTAGAGAAGCACCTTTCAACACCATGATTCCTCTGTTTGGGGATCGATGTTTAGTCTTGGTCTGTCCCCTCCTTGCTTCCTGAATAAAGTTAAGCTAAAGTCCCCTTAACTGTCTTCATTGCATTCATCCCATTTGCTTAGGTAGAAAGTGCCCCAGCTCAGTGAAGCTGGTGAACTGTTATTGGCTAAGCAGTGGGAAAATCATTCTAAGGCTGTGAAATTCACTTCAACAAATAAAAATGATTTCATTTTTACAGCCGTCACCTAAAATTGCTCCCCAAGTTTACTGCATTCTTTGCATGGCTAGCTCAAAATCTTCAATGTTTATTATCAGTCCTTTCTTCAAAGGAAAGATAGGGATGAATGAAGCCAAGCCAACTATCACTTTAATTGCCAGTGAAACTAAAGTCAGAGGCCTTCCTGGATGATAAATCTCATTTCATCTGCTTTTGACTCATGACAGTAGCTGATCTGTCAATGTATAATAACGATATACCATCCAGTCTCCATCCCTGCCAAATGTTGAATATCATAATTAACTTAGCAGTTGATAGCAATTATTGTAGAAAGGACAGGGAAAGAAAGACAAATGATACATCAAGAAGTGGATAATGCTTCCCTCCCCCAGTGTTGAAGTTGTTGGAAAGACATATAAATAAATCTCTTTTCTTGGGGGATATCGTGCCCAGACAGGGGGCAGAGAAGGCTTGCTTGGTTCTGTATCCCCCCGCTCTCCCTAGAAAGTCATTTTAAAGCGGGTTGAGTGTCACCATTCCATTTCTCGCCTATCTTCTCAACTTTCCTGTGAATTACCCTCCACTGAACCTCTGAATCTTTAGGGGTTACACTTTCTTCTCTGTAGAATGAGGGAAAACTGGCCACAAGAGGGCGCATTCCAAAGACATTTGCTTTTTATCAGTTAATCTGGGGAAAGCAATTGTGCCTACTGGAAGCCCCAGTCTGTAGTGTCCTGATCCTGTGATTGTCACTTCCGTCTTCCTCTCTCTAACCCCTCTGAAAAAGTTAAGATTTTGTGGGGTGGGAGAAACATGACTACCTGTAAGACATTAAATGAGACAGAAGGCATGGAAATGGGAGTGCTGGTGATACATGAGAACAATCTCGAGTGCTACGGAAAGCAAGGAGTGATACATTTCAAAAGCAAACAAAGCAGAGAGGGGAGAAATGTGACCATGAATCATCAGCGACACTGATTTGCTCACCAGTCTCTCCCTAATACAGTCGCCTGGGTTTTACAAAAACATCTTCCATCTCCCTTGATTTTGTGCCTTCATTTGCCTGCCTTCACAATGCTTTCTACCAGCCACAAATGACAAGGGACTTCTACCCGGGAGTAACAGGCGATTTATTTAACGCCTAACAGGAAAATGGTGCTGGGGTGAAGAGGATGTGTGTGTGTTTTGGAACTGAAGATGCAGAAAGAATGGGAGTGTGGAGATGAAGGAAGAGATTAATGGTGGGTTTTGGCCTGAAGAGTCTGTTTCCCAGAGTGGGGGCGGGAGTGATGTCAGGGTAGAAACATCAACCCCATTTTCACATTTGGGGAACTGAAATTATACTGTCCCAGGCATCGTTCATGAAAATGCATATTTGTCTTGGCCCCTTGTATGCTCAAAAATACTTGAAAGTGATCTCTCAACTGTAGTTCAGAATTGTTCCTCCTTCAGTGGTTCTTAGGTCTAAAAATCAAACGTGTAAAAGTTTACAGGAACTTTGGAAGAAGTCTCTGATATTCCATGGGTTGAACCTTGGGAATTTTTTGCTATTTCTTATAGTAAGCTAAAAAAACAAAAACAAAACAAAACAAAACAAAAAACCCCAAACCCTGCCCCCCAAATATTTAACATTTTTCATCACCATTTAGTGGAAGAGGCATAGATGATAAATGTTTGTGGCTGAAAGTTTACAGCATTTCAATGATGAATCCTAAGGAGAGATATTAAAGCTAAAAAAATTATCAAGATAATTTATAACCAAACCTACAGTTCTACCCCAGGCAAGATCCTCTACTGTAGGTCAAAGGAGAAATAACCTTTAAGACCTCACTGGCTGCCTTCTGCAGAAAGGCCTGGATGCAGTCCAGATGTGAATACACGCACTGTAAATGGTAGCTCTGTATGCTGCTACCATCGACTATTCCATATCTAGGCACAGGGAGATTTTGATTAAGGATGGGAAATTAAAGTAACAGATGCTTTTCACAGCAACCCCTCCCTGGTGAATTTAAATACACTCCACAAACAGTAAAGCTGTCCACATTAACATTAGAGACATAATGATTAGCCCTATGTAAAAGCGAGGCATACTTTGTGCAGGACCCTGGTGAGGAAAACAAAACAGAACAGAACCAAAGCAGTGCATGTATGTATTGCTTCTTTAATTGCAAATGTTCACACACTCACAAATGCTGGACTTTTGGATGAGTAGCATTTTTTGTTTTTGTTTTGTTTTGTTTTGTTGCATCCTCATGTGGGGGGAGGGAACAAAGGACTGCTGCTTAACCCTTGGCATGCCTCCGTGACTGAATTGTAGGAAAGCCCTGAGAGCAAAGGAGAGTGTGCTGCAAACACCTTTACTTTCAGCTTACGCAGTCTTTCTTCTGTCCACCCCTCCCACCAGACAATATTTCTGAGGTATTCCCTGCAAGCACAAGATTTCTCCCTACCCATTTTTCTGCACCATTTCTCTCCCCATTTGGTATGTGTCCACCATGCTTCTAGGGGTTTAAGTGATGAGATATTATCACCCACATAGGGTTGCGTGGGATTTTCTTAGTGAATTACTCAGGCAGAGCAGGCTATGATACAAGCATTGCTCACAAGCCACGGGAAAGAAAAAAAAAAAAAAAACAAAAAACAGCACAGAGGATGAAAAGAATATTACCAGAGCATAGGTAAGAAAAGATTAGCAAAGCAACGTGCTCTATCTGGTTAGCTAAGAAATAGTTCAGGAACCCAGAGCACACCTGTACAAACGAACATCATACCTGCTCACGAAGCACTGGGGGGAGGCTCCCATTTCAAGATTTTATAGCACCAGCTATTTAAATCACACCTGAAACTGATTGGAAATTGATCCTAAAATGCCTCAGCTGTAAGCAGCCTTCTTCCATTTTTCAAATTGTTATGCGCAGAGATTTGCAGATTGGGGTATCCTTTCAGCGACACTGAAGTACAGCAATTTCCCTCAGGTAATAGAGAGATAAAGGGAATAGACTAAGTTGTCCTGTTATTTATTATATTTTTCATCCCTGAGATATCTGAGAACTGTAATATATTTCTGAAACCGACAGCTCTGATAAACAGTAATCCCGTGTCAGCTTCCAGCCAGCTCATTCTCCCCACCCCCTTCTGCAATGAGCTAATGTAAAAGAAAAAAAAAATATATATATATGCACTGCTTAATAAGTCAGAATACAATAGAACTTGTAAAATGTACCTGCACATGGGGTAGACAGTAGGAAGACTTGACTCTCTCTCTTCCCCCTGTCCTCCTGAGCATTATGGCAAACAGCATTTTCGTGAAATTGGATCTCAGTTTTATTTTTCCCCCTGATAAAATATCATGCAATATACAAATAGCAGTTCCAGAAATGGACACCAGGAGAAGGAGGCGGCAGGCATGTCAATTAGTAGGGGGAAAATCCAAATGTCAGAAATATGGGGGAGAGAGAAAGCATGCAGGCAGTGGATGTGAATACGGGGAGCAGAGTGTTTCAGTTCAGATAATTAAACTGATGCATAAATCAGTGCCCAAGCCTCCACAACTCACGGGCAATGCCATACAGTGAATTGTCAGCCAAAACCAGCATGAAAGTAATTTTATGATGACTCTAGTGATCCTAATATAACAGCACCTGACAGATTGAGCCCCCTCTAATGAGTACTCTCTTTGTACAATCCTCTCCCAGGAACACTAAATCATTTGCTTCCAAGTACAGCTGCCTGTGAAGACGGGGTGGGGCCAGATTGTACATGAGAAACCTGCTCCTGTGAAATGGGGGGCTGGCCTGCAGGCGGGTGTGACAGGAAGCTCTGGCCTCTGGCCTTGCTGGCCCTACAAAAGCAATTTGCATGCCATTGTCACTTGTTCCCAGCCACCCGGTTAACCCTCCATTATCCCCCAACCCCTAGCATCCAGATGGCTCTGGACTCTATTTGTGGGAAGTCCAGCATGTTTACCAGCCCACTCCTCACCGTCTCCCCCTGCCCAGTGTGGAGGAGTGCAGAGAGGATCCTGGGGTGGGTGTGGTCCCTGAAACCTGCGGGTCTCCCCATCCAGGGCACTGGTCTCATGCTCTTTCCTAGAAAGACAAAAGCCAACCTCGTGGCCTCTGGCTTCTCTAATTTAGCAGCTACTGTCTCTCTTTACAGTGATTTGCTCTGTGCCGTTTAGGATTTTGGAAGCTGTCCTATCTAAAGGCACAGAAGAAACAGCAGGTAGCCTGATGACCTTCTCCAGGAGCAGGGTGGAGGTGCCACTAGAGAGAGACCTGTATGTTTCTCCCGCACAGGCTGGGGATATTTTTCAGTGGTCTCAACAGGACAGGACGCTGCCACCTAGAAAGAAGCTGTTCTTTGCCATTTTAGATCAAATGATTAAATTCTGCTTCCTGGTATCTTTCATTTTCTTAAAAAACACAAACAGCCACCAAAAACCCACCCATTCTTTGCAAGGGGTAGGACAGAATTCACTGTGTTTTTCAAAGTCATCATGCTTCCTAAAATAAGACAGCTTCCCCCCTCGCTGCTCCCCACTCTGGGTTCTATCAGATCATAAACTCTGCTTTATTATTCACTTCAAGTCTTGCCAGAGACATGAGGTTTAAGGAACTCCCAAGCCACTGCTGCCATCATAGTGGCAAGGTTAGAGAAAGATGCCAGAGAATGCCTCATGTCCATATGCAGCCCTTCTTGGCCCTGGCCTCTGTGAATTTCCCACTATCATAATCACAGTGTGCAGAGTGTGTTAAATTAAGAACAGAGTCGGCAGTGCACAGTGCTCAGAGAAGCCTGCCTTCTGCTGCGGAGAACTTGAAACTGTGCCTAAAATTTATAGTACCGTAAACATCTCAGGGCCTCGAGTGCTAAGTACAGTTGGATTTCCGTTAGCTATAGAAATCCAGGCAGGGAGATCCTCCTAGGGAGTTGCGACTTCTAGGATGAGCTTCTTGGAGACAGTTCTCAGATTTGTCCCTGGGATCTATGGATAGTGGACAGTTGTGAAGTAGGCACATGCTTAGGCAGAAAGACATATTTCTGTATACCACCCAGGGGACACCCAGAAATGAGGAAAAATACTTGATGAATCGAGGAACTCGATTCGGGATACCTGCTTCTTATACCTAGTAAATGGTGCTGCATAATCAGCTTGCAGGTGCATATGAAGAGAGAGAGAAGCAACTTTCTAATTTTAGAGTCAAGTAGGACTGAGTGAGTGTTGAATCGAACCACCCTGACATGCATGGATTTTGCCTGGGTCAACAGCAGTTGCTATCTGAAACATGTTTTTGGTGCATTCTAAAGAGATGGAGGGATTCAGAGGCTGGAGGCGGCTCTATTAATTTCATATAACTCAATGCTAAGGATGCTTTCCTTTGTGTGTGCATGTGTGGTACTGGGGATTGAATGCAGGGCCTTTGTATTGAGCTATATCCCCAGCTATTTCTTATCTTTTATTTTGAGGCAGTGTATCTCTAAGTTGCCAAATTGCCTGAGCCAGGTTTGAACTTGTAATCCTCCTTCAGCTCCCCAGAGTGCTGGGATTACAGGTGTGCACCACCATATCTGAGTAGTTAATAATCAAGTAATTGCATATCCTCTGCTAAACACCAGGCTATAGCAGTGAAGGAGATAGATAAGCCTTCAGATCTCAGGTGTCTTAAACAGACTTGAGAGGAGGGTGGTAGTAGAGGAGACAGGGGAGAGAAGGCTTCTAGAGGAAATGCTGTCCAGTCTGCATTATTAAAGTCAGGATGAAGGAAGGGCGATGTGCTGGGAGTCAGGGAGGGCGAGGAGTACCCCAGGCTACTGGAGCAGCAAAGGTCACTTATAGGATTCTCAAGCCCTTGGGAAGCACCTTTACCTGGACTACATAGGACAGAGGCTGGGCAGGGCTGGAAGTCTCTGGGATATTGAAAGTAATAAGAAGTCAGGGATCGACTGGGAAGAGGAGGTGGCATCAGACCCATGGGAAAGATTCCCTTAGTGGCTTAACTGAGAACTGAGCGGACAGAGGCCTGGCAATGCCATAGAGAGACTACACAAAGAATATTGTGCTGCAGTTACCCAGGAACTAGGCTGGGGGGGGGGGGTGACAAATGGGAGATGTGGTCAGGAGGTGCTGCCCGCATTTACCCACACAGCGGGCCAGGGGAGAGGGTGCTTGTCTTTCTGTGTGCAAATATTTCCCTGGCTTGCTGGGGCTTACGGACTGTTTTCCTTTATGTTAGCACACTTGATCCTTCCAAAATCTGAAATAATAGGTCAAATGTCATTATGTCATTCCCATTTTATGGAAGACAAAACAGATTAAGCAGCCAGTCAAAAGACTCAGACCCCTAGGCCCTCTTCATTCTAGCACAAGCGTCTGCAAACATTTTTCTGTAAGAGGCCAGAGTAAATACTTTAGGCTTTGTGGTCTGGAATCTCTCTCATAACTACCCAGTCCTGTGATATAGTGCAAATGCTGCCACAGGCAGCCTACAAAGACATGAACATAGCTGTATTCCAGGGGGACTTTATTTGCAGGCAGTGCTTTAAACTTCAGGTAAGTTTCACAGGTCACATAATATTTTTCTTGAACCATTTAAAACTGTAGAGACCATTCTTAGCTTGGTGGCTGTCCTGGAGCAGGTGACCCGTGGTTGTTAGTTTGCTGAGCAGGGTTTGAGACTCTTGCTTGCCTGGACTGAGCTCAGTTACTGGATGTGAATTAACCAACGTCCTTTTTTTTTTTTTTCTTGTGCTGTTTCCTTTTCAGGCACAGCCAGAAAGACGCTGCACTTTGAGATTTCCAAGGAAGGCAGTGACCTGTCTGTGGTGGAGCGTGCAGAAGTGTGGCTCTTCCTGAAAGTCCCGAAGGCCAACAGGACGAGGACCAAAGTCACCATCCGTCTCTTCCAGCAGCAGAAACACCCACAGGGAAGCTTGGACGCGGGCGATGAGGCCGAGGAAGTGGGCTTAAAGGGGGAAAGGAGTGAACAGTTGCTCTCGGAGAAGGTGGTGGATGCACGGAAGAGCACCTGGCACATCTTTCCTGTCTCCAGCAGCATCCAGAGGCTGCTGGATCAGGGCAAGACTTCCCTGGACATGCGGATTGCCTGTGAGCAGTGCCAGGAGAGTGGGGCCAGCCTGGTGCTCCTGGGCAAGAAGAAGAAGAAAGACGAGGAGGGGGACGGGAAAAAGAAGGATGGAGGTGAAGGTACGGCGGAGGAGGAGAAGGAGCAGTCACACAGACCTTTTCTCATGCTGCAAGCCCGGCAGTCTGAAGATCACCCTCACCGCAGGCGCCGGCGGGGCTTGGAGTGCGACGGCAAGGTGAATATCTGCTGTAAGAAACAATTCTTTGTCAGCTTCAAAGACATTGGTTGGAATGACTGGATCATCGCACCCTCCGGCTACCATGCTAACTACTGTGAGGGTGAGTGCCCCAGCCACATAGCAGGCACATCGGGGTCCTCGCTTTCCTTCCACTCGACGGTCATCAACCACTACCGCATGCGGGGTCACAGCCCCTTTGCTAACCTCAAGTCGTGCTGTGTGCCCACCAAGCTCAGACCTATGTCGATGCTGTACTATGATGACGGCCAGAACATCATCAAAAAAGACATTCAGAACATGATCGTGGAGGAGTGTGGGTGCTCCTAGAGTTACCCCGCCTGGGGGGGAGGGGAACTAGAGTTGCCGGGCGAAGACAGTGGCGGCAAAAATGAAGATTTTTTTTTTTTTTTTTAAGGTTTCTGAGTTAAGCAACCAGAAAAAAATAGAAATTTTGAAAAAAATTAAAAAAAAAAACAACAAAAAAAAACCACAAAAACGAAACTAAAAACAGAACCTATGACACAGATGAAGGAAGATATGGAAAAAAAAAAATCCTTAGCCAGGGCTCAGAGATGAAGCAGTGAAGGAGACAGGAGTTGGGAGGGACAGGGAGAAAGGGGTACCCTTCTTTTCTTCCAAAATCAAACTGATGCCATCAGTTGTTTAAATGGGGTATTGTCCTCTCCCCCCACCCCCCACCACCCCGCTGCGGTTCCCTGGAGAACCTCAAAATCAATTTGTCTAGTCTGTGTTCATGTAGACTAGCACAACCCAAATAACGTCTAGAAAGCCATGAGTTTAAAAGGGCCAGTCCCACCCAATCACCCAGGTCATCAGTATGTCTGTGTGACACTATCTCTGTGTATATCAGCAGACACGCGCATACACATACAGGCATTTGCACACGCAACCTACATGCACATACTGGTAAAAGAACAATCAGAGTGCAGGCAGTCAAACTTTCTTTTTCTGCACCACGATTGCAACAAGACAAAGCAAAACCAACATAAAAAAAAAAAAAATTGACAACAAGAATGGGAAGAAAGAAAGATCAAGGAAAAACGAATACCAAGTTACAATTCGTTAAGGTGCTTCTGATCTTAGAACTATGCAACCTAATACGTTTGAAACTGTTTACCTGAGAGAGAACAAAAAAGAGAGACTTTTTTGTATTGGAAATAACCTGATTAATTTTTATTTTCTTCAAGGAGAGATACTTGAAAGGAATATGTTTGTCCATCTGTTGGATCCAAACATTTCTATATTTTGTAAATGTTGTTTTTTTTTATCGTTTACTATTTGCACTACAATGGTATTTGACCTGTCTAATCCTTATTTAACAAGTATTTTCTTTGGGTGGGGGTGGGGGCGGGGTTTAAGAGCTGCACTTAATGTGAGCTATAAAAGAACTGCTACAGCACACAAAATAGCTATTTTTATTATTATAATTATAATTATTATTATTATTTTGTACCTTAAAAAATAGACACATACACCAAAGACATTTGTGTGAGCCTTTAAACAGTCTGTCTATGATTGGTATCATTGACCATCAGTGAGTCAGGGGTTGAGAGTCAAGGTTGAGGTGGGTGGATTGCGTTCAGGCTTAAACGACCTGAGAAGTTTGGTTTTTGACTCTTTTGACATCCGTGAAACAGGACATTTCATACTGGATGTACAGTAGTTGTACACTGTTGGATATCAAGTTCAATCAAATTCATGAGATTACATGCTTGTATGTGTATATATACATTGCTTGTGCATACGCATACCTGTGTGTATATATACATGTATTGTACCATGTCCATACACAATTTAAGCACTTCAGGTTGTCTTTTTTTAATGTTCTTAAAGCAATGAATGTTTGTGTGCAAAACACAGTATTTTTAAGAAGGATAGGCTATAGTTTTTGCTTTTACTCTGAACTAGGTGGGCACATTTCAAAAATTTAGAAGGCAAAAGCCTGAAAATTCCAGTGAGTACTCAGCAAGGCCCTCTATAAATAAATGTACAGGAATCAAATTCCTTTGTCTTTCTTGTTCTCCACCTCCTAAACTTATCCCCTGTGGGGAAAACAGGATGCTAATCAAAACTGTGGGCTGATTTTTTTTTCACTTTATATTTATTATCTATTGGAATATTGGAATCAATCTTAAATCAGAAACTTTTTCTGAAAAAACAAAAACAAAAACAACAACACAAAAACAACAACAAACCGTCAGGCCAGAATAAAAGTGTTGGGTGCTTTTTTTGTTTGTTTGAGGTCTGAACAGGAGCGATATTACCTGCACCAGCTGGGTCAAACAGTGTTGTTGTTACTTGTTCAAAGCTAAATTTTTAGGGGAAGGTGTTTAATGAGAATTGGAATTGAGGAAGAGAACAGTTAAGAGGAGGCAGGGATGAGGGCAGTAGTACAACTCTAATATTTTAATTTGCTACCAAAGCTCTTGGTGTGGAAGTTTGTATGTATTGATTCAGATGCAAAAATAAAAACAAAAAACAAAACAAACAAAAAAAACCCGAAACCAAACCAAACAAAAAACCTGTCTTATAGACATCAAAGAATATGCTTAAAGTTAGGTGTCTTTACTTTATTTCAGTATTTTGCTTGCTTAGAACAACTAATAAGATATTTGTCTATGTGTTTAAAATACAGAGCCTTATTTTCACTGACTTATCTGTTTGTTAAAAATTGGAAAACATTTTCTAATGGAGAAAGATGACATTTGTCAATATTCTGTAAAATGGTGATACTCTTAGCCGTGTGTCAATTCATAGATTAAAAAGCAGTCAGAGGAGAATGAACTATCAGTGAGAAAGCTGATATAACAAAAGATGGTTTAAAATTAGGCTCAGTTGGTATATATAGCACGAGGAGGTGCACAGGCAGATTACCTTAGTCTTGTTACTGGACACATAGACTTACTGTGTTCTAAGGGCCCATCCTGCCTTACACAGGAAACACAGCCTGTGCTGTGGAAAAAGCTCCTGGTGGATTCTAGTGAAGGTCTAGCAACTGTGGGCATCATGCATGTGGAGAAGGTGGGCTTGGTGAGGAAACTAGGGAGAGGGGAAGATGACCAATTTTCCAATTCTAACAAAATGCTTTGAGGGCCCTTTGAACTGCTTCTTTTTGATACTGGAAATAACACTGGAACCTATGGAAATAGTGTGAGGATATAAGTCCTAGTTCACTGTGCAATGGTGGAGAAAGCTAAGGCCATGGGAAAAACAGGAATTTACAAAGACAGCTATATGTAGCTCCCACTCATCTCAAATCAGTCCGCCATTTTGTTAGGCCCTTTAAGTCCTAGACCTCCTAGGGGTGAACTGGGGTTTGATGAGTGGCCACGGTAATAATTATAAGAGTTAAGTGAAATTTCGTACGACAGTATTTTAATTAGATAGTAAATGCTTCGGTTATCGCACACCCACAAATTTTAACCTTGTTTCATTTAAAGTTATATGGCCTTGAGAAAGAATTAGAAATTGCCACCATCTTTAATAATATTGGAAGACATTATTGTACCATCTTCAACAATCTCAGAAGTTACAAAGCCTTCTGAGCAATCACTCTTTTCACGTAGCCACATTAGGCCAAAATAAAAAGCCTTTAAATTCTACCCTCTTGGGTTCTTAATACTCCATCATACCTGATGAAGGAGGATATCTTTAGTTGATCTTACTATTTTGCCACTTTTACTCTGGGGTTGAACTCTATGCCTTCAAGTGTCTGCCCACACTAATTCTAGCAGCTCTAAAAAGCACTTGTCCTCAATATCTCAAAATAACAAGGATTTCATAGGCTGAATTTTAATGCTCTTCTTTTTTCCCCCCCAAAAAAGTAAAGCAAATTTCAACACACTTACTGGGATTTTGTTATCCCAGCTCACCAGCCAATTTCAAGTTCATTTAAGATTGATTCCACACTCCATTTTCAAGAAGAGTTCTTGCAGTCTCCTCAAAGTTAGAGCAAGGAAAAAAAACTTTTTCACCCTTGTAGGATTTGGCTTCAAGAGGGGACTCTAAATACAAACAAATATGCCTCTGCATTAACCAGAGATTCAAATTATCACATTCACTTGAAAACATAATTTCCTGTGGGCCATTTGGCAACTTCCCCTTTTCATGTAGAGAAAACTTAGTCACCCTGAAGACCTACATAATAAATGAAACTTATAGATGTGGGCAGAAGGTTTGGGGGTGGACATTGTATGTGTTTAAATTAAACCCTGTATTACTGAGAAGCTATTGAATGGATCAGAGAAAATGAATGCTTAGAAGCTGTTTGCATCTTCAAGAGCAGAAACAAACCACATGTCTCAGCTATATTATTATTTATTTATATGCATAAAGTGAATCATTTCTTCTGTATTAATTTTCAATGGGTTTTACCCTCTATTTAAATGCTTTGGAAAACAGTGCATTGACAATGGGTTGATATTTTTCTTAAAAAGAAAAATATAATTATGAAAGCCAAGATAATCTGAAGCCTGTTTTGTTTTAATTTTTTTTTTATGTTCTGTGGTTGATGTTATTTGTTTGTGTGTTTTTATTTTTATTTTGTGTTTTTTTTCCCTTTGGCATACTACATGCAGTTCTTTAACCAATGTCTATTTGGCTAATGTAATTAAAGTTGTTAATTTATATGAGTGCATTTCAACTATGTCAATGGTTTCTTAATATTTATTGTGTAGAAGTACTGGTAATTTTTTTATTTACAATATGTTTAAAGAAATAACAGTTTGATATGTTTTCATGTGTTTATAGCAGAAGTTATTTATTTCTATGGCATTCCAGCGGATATTTTGGTGTTTGCGAGGCATGCAGACCATATTTTGTATAGCTAGTGGACAGTATTCAGCAACGCCTGATAGCTTCTTTGGCCTTATGTTAAATAAAAAGACCTGTTTGGGATGTATTTATTTTTATTTTTATTTTATGTCTTATTTATTGATTTTTCCAAAATTGACTTTGCACACATATTGCCACATCCTTTGCTGGGTAATTATTTTGTTTCTATTGTGATTATCTAGAAGAGGCTAAAGAACAGCTTGAATAAGGAGGAGTGTATAAAGTGTGGAGTGAGAGAGCTCAAGCAGAAAGAGAACATACATTGCCATGGCAGAGGCTTGTAATAAACTGCAGATGCTTGGGCCAGCAATATTTATATTTCATTCATTTTGTTAATTTCTTATTTCTCTAACTGTAGTGGCAACTATTTGCAGGAAATAAAGACATTCTTTTCTTCTCTCTTTCCCTCCTTCTTTCCTTCTCTTCTTTTTTAAAATTTTCCTTTCTGGCTAGAAAACAGGAATACATAGAGCAACTAGAGCTAGAGAAATACATACATGTGAGGGACACATACCTAGTGCTGGTACTAGAACCAACAAGAGCCCATTCAGAATCCAAAGTCAAGTCAAGAATTAATTGGTTCTTCAACCTTCACTTCTACAGATTTTGTCTAGTATCTGTGCCCATCCCCAAGGCTACATGGAGGAAATAATGTCCATAGATGACATGGGAAACAAGAACCTCTCCATGTCCCTTCACTGGATACTCACCTATTACTGTTTTAACTACCTTTCATGGTAGATGTTATCTCAGCTTTTGCCAAGGAATTTCAGGCACAGCTAAGTAACATTAGTTTGAACTAGGCCCCAAGCCAAATCTATAATCAAATCTAAAGTGAATCTTCTTTTTGCTTTCCTATAATTCCATTATCCTGTTAATATTCTCATGTACTGAGGGAAAAAAGAGGGGTTGAACTGGGTATAAAGGTTACATAATTTTTCAGTACAACATTTTTTGTTCACCATTGCCTCCAACTGAAATCCCAAATTCATGTGAATTCATCTCATCCCCTTTATACTTCAGTAGGAGAGTTTCAATTTTTTATTTTTTATTTATTTTTTGGTACTGGGAATAGAACTCAGGATCTTGTGCTTTCTAGTCAGGGGCTATGCCACTCAACTGTATCCCCAACCCTCAAGTTTTTAAAATTAGAAGAGAATTGTTATAG